GAATACTCTAGCGATTTTTGATCTTCACTAACTTCGAGTCGATGTATATTCGAGCTCCACTTATGCAGCACGAACATCTTCCAAAATCACCTGAGCTGCTTGTCTCCGCTTGCTTCGTTGTCAGCCCACTGCTTAAGAGGTCGTCTACATACATACTCCGTCGCAAGTGGTCCACCTCTTCGGGTAACCGCTCTGACCACTTGTCAAGATTGGTCTCGATCACCGCTTGCAGAAGGTATGTTGAGGGTGCTAGTCCAAATAAAACTCGGGTGAATCGCAGAGTTTCTAAGTGGTCGTTTTAATGTTAACGCCAATGAAACCTTAACGCGTCTCGATCAGCAGCTTTTATATGAATCTGTAGAAAGGCCTGTCGGATATCACTTGAAACCATGACTGGAAATGTTCTTTGCTGCACAAGCACATCCCAGAGTTTGTTTTGAAGTGGCGTGCCGGGGTTCAGACATTCGTTAAGAGAGGGTGATGTTGGATCGGCTTTCGCTGATGCGTAATTTTGTGGTCTCTTAGGTCTCCTTCACCACGCCCTTGTGTGGGATGTAAAACTCACGTCCGGTCACCTTCTTAGGGGCTTTCTCTACGATTCCTTCATGTAGTTATGTCCGTATAACTGCATCATATTCGTCGATGTTACCTTCTCGTTCCAACTTCATCGTCAAACTGCTCAGACGACCTAAACTGCCAATCCTACGTTACGGCTGAAGTGGAACGCGCGGCCTTAAACATCGAAGCCAGCTTATTGCTCTCGGCTTCCACGCAACACTTCCCAGCAATGTTCTTTCACATTGCAAAATTAACAAACAACTGGCAATACCAAAATTACATGGAAAGCAACTTTTCCGCCCTGCCAAATCAGGTTTATTCTGTGTGTTTCAAGATTTCAATACTACCAAATTCCTTTTACCTTTTTTATATAATATTATGGTACCATTCCAGGGGCGAAATTCAATTTTCTATTCAATTTATGCATGCCACCAGTAATTTGAATTTGATTGTCATCAGTGTTCATCCAATGTATTATACTATTTAGAAATATGGTCAGAAAAAGTATTGGCAAGGAAGGCAACTTCATCAGGTCTTGGAAAAGGTAGACAATGGACTAGAGATACCACTGGACGACAATTTAATTAATATACTGTCTATCGAGAAAGGCAGAAAAAAGAAAGAGTTTCTTTCGCGCAAAGGAATTAGATCTGCAGGCAAACACAAGCATTAAATTGCGTATCGAATTGTCCATAATAACTTTCCACTAGCATAATAACTTTCTAAAAACTTTCCACTGGAAGTTCAATTTTGACGCGATAAAAACAAAAAAAAACAATCATCCCGAAATCCCCAAAATTGACTGCATAAAGCAACATAAAAATAAAGCACTATATAAAAACCGCTCTAATATTGTTTCTTGAAGTCATCCAGACTAATTGTCATGCAGACAATTAATATAAGAATACCTTAAAATAGAACATCGATTAACATATAGCATAATATACTGTGAAACAATAAATCTAAAAGCTAATTTTGTATTCTTAAGTGGTTGATGAGCAAAATAGCGATGGCAGCAGAAATGCAGGAAGCGAAGAGGATACTCTGCCAAGTGTTGAAGGTATTTACTTAATAATTTATAGCTTACTGAGTAACAAAAATCGTGTATTATATGAAAGTGCAGTCAATTAAAACACAGGCATTCAAGTGCGCATCTTAGTGTTCCTTGGCCATTGCATTAGAATTATAATATAGTGCAGGCTCTAGCTTTGACTAGGAATAGGTGCCCTGATTAAAGTTAGAGATTGAATGGTATAGGACACTTTACAATCACTAACAAAACACCTTTATACAAGATTATACATTCCTTTTTCAATGGAAAGAAATTTCCTACCTGAAGTAAAATATCAAAAAAGAATTAAATAATCACTCTGAAGCCTAATTTTGTAAGCCACGAGTAAGAAAAATTGTATATAACATGGAAGTGCAGTCATTATTAGGCAGGGAAAGGATCGAGTCGAGAATTCTCTGCTATATGAGAAAAAAGTGTCTTTTTTAACCATTGAATGTTTCATAAAAAAGCTTCAGGGATGAAGAGTTCGAACGAATAAAGATTATTCCCTTTAGTTATAAGATATGGCAAGCAACTGACCTCAAAATTTATATGTGAATTTCATAGCGTCACGTAATTCATTGAATGTTTTGCATGCAGACGAACATAACCAAATTCCAAAAATTAAAACATCAATTGAGATAGAGAATAAAATCATTACTGAAATGCATGGGTTAACATTATTCGTTTTAGTCCTGAGACGTTGCAAACAACTTACCCAAAAATTGGGTAGAATCGTTCCACAGCATCACCCATTTACTTAAATCTTTTGCAGACAATTAATATAAAAATACGTTAAAATAAAACATCGATTAAAACATTGAATCTAAAACCTACTTTTGTATTCTTAAGTGGTTGATGAGCAAAATAGCGATGGCAGCAGAAATGCAGGAGGCGAAGAGGATACTCTGCCAAGTGTTGAAGGTATTTACTTAATAATTTATAGCTTACTGAGTAACAAAAATCGTGTATTATATGAAAGTGCAGTCAATTAAAACACAGGCATTCAAATGCGCATCTTAGTGTTCCTTGGCCTTTGCTAATCCATTATAATATAGTGCAGGCTCTAGCTTTGACTAGGAGTAGGTGCCCTGATTCAAATTCGATATTGCATGGTATAGGACACTTTACAATGACTAACAAAACACCTTTATACAAGGTTATACATTCGTTTTTCTATGGATAGAAATTTCCTACCTGAAGTAAAGTATCAAAAAAGAATTAAATAATCACTCTGAAGCCTAATTTTGTAAGCCACGAGTAAGAAAAATTGTATATACATGGAAGTGCAGTCATTATTAGGCAGGGAAAGGATCGAGTCGAGAATTCTCTGCTATATGAGAAAAAAGTGTCTTTTTTAACCATTGAATGTTTCATAAAAAAGCTTCAGGGATAAAGAGTTCGAACGAATAAAGATTATCCCCTTTAGTTATAAGATATGGCAAGCAACTGACCTCAAACGTTTATACGTGAATTTCATAGCATCATGCATGTCATTCGTTTTAGTCGTGAGACATTGGAAGAAACTTACCTAAAAATTGGGTAGATTCGTTCAGCAGCATCACGCATTTACTTAAATCTTTTGCAGACAATTAATATAAAAAGACCTTAAAATAGAACATCGATTAAAACCTTGAATTTAAAACCTAATTTTGTATTCTTAAGTGGTTGATGAGCAAAATAGGGATGGCAGCAGAAATGCAGGAAGCGAAGTGGATCCTCTGCCAAGTATAGAAGGTATTTAGTTAATAATTTATAGCTTACTGAGTAACAAAAATTGTGTATTATATGAAAGTGCAGTCAATTAAAACACAGGCATTGAAGTGCGCATCTTAGTGTTCCTTGGCCTTTCCATTAGAATTATAATATTGTGCAGGCTCTAGCTTTGACTAGGTGTAGGTGCCCTGATTCAAACTAGAGATTGCATGGTATAGGACACTTTACAATGACTAACAAAACACTTTATACAAGGTTATAATTCCTTTTTCTATTGAAAGAAATTTTCTACCTGAAGTAAAGTATCAAAAAAGAATTAAATAATCACTCCGAAGCATAATTTTGTAAGCCACGAGTAAGAAAAATTGTATATAACATGGAAGTGCAGTCATTATTAGGCAGGGAAAGGATCGAGTCGAGAATTCTCTGCTATAGTATGAGAAAAAAGTGTCTTTTTTAACCATTGAATGTTTCATAAAAAAGCTTCAGGGATGAAGATTTCGAACGAATAAAGATTATCCCCTTTAGTTATAAGATATGGCAAGCAACTGACCTCAAAATTTTATACGTGAATTTCATAGCATCATGTCATTCGTTTTAGTCGTGAGACATTGGAAGAAACTTACCTAAAAATTGGGTAGATTCGTTCAGCAGCATCACCCATTTACTTAAATCTTTTGCAGACAATTAACATAAAAATACGTTAAAATAGAACATCGATTAAAACATTCAATTTAAAACCTAATTTTGTATTCTTAAGTGGTTGATGAGCAAAATAGGGATGGCAGCAGAAATGCAGGAAGCGAGGACGATACTCTGCCAAGTATAGAAGGTATTTACTGAATAATTTATAGCTTACTGAGTAACAAAAACGTGTATTATACGAAAGTGCAGTCATTAAAACACAGGCATTCAAGTGCGCATCTTAGTGTTCCTTGGCCTTTGCTAATCCATTATAATATATATAGTGCAGGCTCTAGCTTTGACTAGGAGTACGTGCCCTGATTCAAATTAGATATTGCATGGTATGGGACACTTTACAATGACTAACAAAACACCTTTATACAAGGTTATACATTCCCTTTTCTATGGAAAGAAATTTCCTACCTGAAGTAAAATATCAACGAAGAATTAAATAATCACTGTGAAGCCTAATTTTGTGAGCCGCGACTAACACAAATTGTAAATTATATTGAAGTGCAGTCATTATTAGGCAGGGAAAGGATCGAGTCGAGAATTCTCTGCTATATGAGAAAAAAGTGTCTTTTTTAACCATTGAATGTTTCATAAAAAAGCTTCAGGGATGAAGATTTCGAACGAATAAAGATTATCCCCTTTAGTTATAAGATATGGCAAGCAACTGACCTCAAAATTTTATACGTGAATTTCATAGCATCACGTAATTCATTGAATGTTTTGCATGCAGACGAACATAACCAAATTCCAAAAATTAAAACATCAATTGAGATAGAGAATAAAATCATTACTGAAATGCATGGGTTAACATTATTCGTTTTAGTCCTGAGAAATTGCAAACAACTTACCCAAAAATTGGGTAGAATCGTTCGAAAGCATCACCCATTTACTTAAATCTTTTGCAGACAATTAATATAAAAATACCTTAAAATAAAACATCGATTAAAACATTCAATCTAAAACCTACTTTTGTATTCTTAAGTGGTTGATGAGCAAAATAGCGATGGCAGCAGAAATGCAGGAGGCGAAGAGGATACTCTGCCAAGTGTTGAAGGTATTTACTTAATAATTTATAGCTTACTGAGTAACAAAAATCGTGTATTATATGAAAGTGCAGTCAATTAAAACACAGGCATTCAAATGCGCATCTTAGTGTTCCTTGGCCTTTGCTAATCCATTATAATATAGTGCAGGCTCTAGCTTTGACTAGGAGTAGGTGCCCTGATTCAAATTCGATATTGCATGGTATAGGACACTTTACAATGACTAACAAAACACCTTTATACAAGGTTATACATTCGTTTTTCTATGGATAGAAATTTCCTACCTGAAGTAAAGTATCAAAAAGAATTAAATAATCACTCTGAAGCCTAATTTTGTAAGCCACGAGTAAGAAAAATTGTATATAACATGGAAGTGCAGTCATTATTAGGCAGGGAAAGGATCGAGTCGAGAATTCTCTGCTATATGAGAAAAAAGTGTCTTTTTAACCATTGAATGTTTCATAAAAAAGCTTCAGGGATGAAGATTCGAACGAATAAAGATTATCCCCTTTAGTTATAAGATATGGCAAGCAACTGACCTCAAACGTTTATACGTGAATTTCATAGCATCATGCATGTCATTCGTTTTAGTCGTGAGACATTGGAAGAAACTTACCTAAAAATTGGGTAGATTCGTTCAGCAGCATCACGCATTTACTTAAATCTTTTGCAGACAATTAATATAAAAAGACCTTAAAATAGAACATCGATTAAAACCTTGAATTTAAAACCTAATTTTGTATTCTTAAGTGGTTGATGAGCAAAATAGGGATGGCAGCAGAAATGCAGGAAGCGAAGTGGATCCTCTGCCAAGTATAGAAGGTATTTAGTTAATAATTTATAGCTTACTGAGTAACAAAAATTGTGTATTATATGAAAGTGCAGTCAATTAAAACACAGGCATTCAATGCGCATCTTAGTGTTCCTTGGCCTTTCCATTAGAATTATAATATAGTGCAGGCTCTAGCTTTGACTAGGTGTAGGTGCCCTGATTCAAACTAGAGATTGCATGGTATAGGACACTTTACAATGACTAACAAAACACTTTTATACAAGGTTATAAATTCCTTTTTCTATTGAAAGAAATTTCTACCTGAAGTAAAGTATCAAAAAAGAATTAAATAATCACTCCGAAGCATAATTTTGTAAGCCACGAGTAAGAAAAATTGTATATAACATGGAAGTGCAGTCATTATTAGGCAGGGAAAGGATCGAGTCGAGAATTCTCTGCTATAGTATGAGAAAAAAGTGTCTTTTTTAACCATTGAATGTTTCATAAAAAAGCTTCAGGGATGAAGATTTCGAACGAATAAAGATTATCCCCTTTAGTTATAAGATATGGCAAGCAACTGACCTCAAAATTTTATACGTGAATTTCATAGCATCATGTCTTTCGTTTTAGTCGTGAGACATTGGAAGAAACTTACCTAAAAATTGGGTAGATTCGTTCAGCAGCATCACCCATTTACTTAAATCTTTTGCAGACAATTAATAAAATACGTTAAAATAGAACATCGATTAAAACATTCAATTTAAAACCTAATTTTGTATTCTTAAGTGGTTGATGAGCAAAATAGGGATGGCAGCAGAAATGCAGGAAGCGAGGACGATACTCTGCCAAGTATAGAAGGTATTTACTGAATAATTTATAGCTTACTGAGTAACAAAAATCGTGTATTATACGAAAGTGCAGTCTATTAAAACACAGGCATTCAAGTGCGCATCTTAGTGTTCCTTGGCCTTTGCTAATCCATTATAATATATATAGTGCAGGCTCTAGCTTTGACTAGGAGTACGTGCCCTGATTCAAATTAGATATTGCATGGTATGGGACACTTTACAATGACTAACAAAACACCTTTATACAAGGTTATACATTCCCTTTTCTATGGAAAGAAATTTCCTACCTGAAGTAAAATATCAACGAAGAATTAAATAATCACTGTGAAGCCTAATTTTGTGAGCCGCGACTAACACAAATTGTAAATTATATTGAAGTGCAGTCATTATTAGGCAGGGAAAGGATCGAGTCGAGAATTCTCTGCTATATGAGAAAAAAGTGTCTTTTTTAACCATTGAATGTTTCATAAAAAAGCTTCAGGGATGAAGATTTCGAACGAATAAAGATTATCCCCTTTAGTTATAAGATATGGCAAGCAACTGACCTCAAAATTTTATACGTGAATTTCATAGCATCACGTAATTCATTGAATGTTTTGCATGCAGACGAACATAACAAATTCCAAAAATTAAAACATCAATTGAGATAGAGAATAAAATCATTACTGAAATGCATGGGTTAACATTATTCGTTTTAGTCCTGAGAAATTGCAAACAACTTACCCAAAAATTGGGTAGAATCGTTCGAAAGCATCACCCATTTACTTAAATCTTTTGCAGACAATTAATATAAAAACCTTAAAATAAAACATCGATTAAAACATTCAATCTAAAACCTACTTTTGTATTCTTAAGTGGTTGATGAGCAAAATAGCGATGGCAGCAGAAATGCAGGAGGCGAAGAGGATACTCTGCCAAGTGTTGAAGGTATTTACTTAATAATTTATAGCTTACTGAGTAACAAAAATCGTGTATTATATGAAAGTGCAGTCAATTAAAACACAGGCATTCAAATGCGCATCTTAGTGTTCCTTGGCCTTTGCTAATCCATTATAATATAGTGCAGGCTCTAGCTTTGACTAGGAGTAGGTGCCCTGATTAAATTTCGATATTGCATGGTATAGGACACTTTACAATGACTAACAAAACACCTTTATACAAGGTTATACATTCGTTTTTCTATGGATAGAAATTTCCTACCTGAAGTAAAGTATCAAAAAAGAATTAAATAATCACTCTGAAGCCTAATTTTGTAAGCCACGAGTAAGAAAAATTGTATATAACATGGAAGTGCAGTCATTATTAGGCAGGGAAAGGATCGAGTCGAGAATTCTCTGCTATATGAGAAAAAAGTGTCTTTTTTAACCATTGAATGTTTCATAAAAAAGCTTCAGGGATGAAGATTTCGAACGAATAAAGATTATCCCCTTTAGTTATAAGATATGGCAAGCAACTGACCTCAAACGTTTATACGTGAATTTCATAGCATCATGCATGTCATTCGTTTTAGTCGTGAGACATTGGAAGAAACTTACCTAAAAATTGGGTAGATTCGTTCAGCAGCATCACGCATTTACTTAAATCTTTTGCAGACAATTAATATAAAAAGACCTTAAAATAGAACATCGATTAAAACCTTGAATTTAAAACCTAATTTTGTATTCTTAAGTGGTTGATGAGCAAAATAGGGATGGCAGCAGAAATGCAGGAAGCGAAGTGGATCCTCTGCCAAGTATAGAAGGTATTTAGTTAATAATTTATAGCTTACTGAGTAACAAAAATTGTGTATTATATGAAAGTGCAGTCAATTAAAACACAGGCATTCAATGCGCATCTTAGTGTTCCTTGGCCTTTCCATTAGAATTATAATATAGTGCAGGCTCTAGCTTTGACTAGGTGTAGGTGCCCTGATTCAAACTAGAGATTGCATGGTATAGGACACTTTACAATGACTAACAAAACACTTTATACAAGGTTATAAATTCCTTTTTCTATTGAAAGAAATTTTCTACCCGAAGTAAAGTATCAAAAAGAATTAAATAATCACTCCGAAGCATAATTTTGTAAGCCACGAGTAAGAAAAATTGTATATAACATGGAAGTGCAGTCATTATTAGGCAGGGAAAGGATCGAGTCGAGAATTCTCTGCTATATGAGAAAAAGTGTCTTTTTAACCATTGAATGTTTCATAAAAAAGCTTCAGGGATGAAGATTTCGAACGAATAAAGATTATCCCCTTTAGTTATAAGATATGGCAAGCAACTGACCTCAAAATTTATACGTGAATTTCATAGCATCATGTCTTTCGTTTTAGTCGTGAGACATTGGAAGAAACTTACCTAAAAATTGGGTAGATTCGTTCAGCAGCATCACCCATTTACTTAAATCTTTTGCAGACAATTAACATAAATACGTTAAAATAGAACATCGATTAAAACATTCAATTTAAAACCTAATTTTGTATTCTTAAGTGGTTGATGAGCAAAATAGGGATGGCAGCAGAAATGCAGGAAGCGAGGACGATACTCTGCCAAGTATAGAAGGTATTTACTGAATAATTTATAGCTTACTGAGTAACAAAAATCGTGTATTATACGAAAGTGCAGTCATTAAAACACAGGCATTCAAGTGCGCATCTTAGTGTTCCTTGGCCTTTGCTAATCCATTATAAATATATAGTGCAGGCTCTAGCTTTGACTAGGAGTACGTGCCCTGATTCAAATTAGATATTGCATGGTATGGACACTTTACAATGACTAACAAAACACCTTTATACAAGGTTATACATTCCCTTTTCTATGGAAAGAAATTTCCTACCTGAAGTAAAATATCAACGAAGAATTAAATAATCACTGTGAAGCCTAATTTTGTGAGCCGCGACTAACACAAATTGTAAAATATTGAAGTGCAGTCATTATTAGGGAGGGAAAGGATCGAGTCGAGAATTCTCTGCTATATGAGAAAAAAAGTGTCTTTTTTAACCATTGAATGTTTCATAAAAAAGCTTCAGGGATGAAGATTTCGAACGAATAAAGATTATCCCCTTTAGTTATAAGATATGGCAAGCAACTGACCTCAAAATTTTATACGTGAATTTCATAGCATCACGTAATTCATTGAATGTTTTGCATGCAGACGAACATAACCAAATTCCAAAAATGAAAACATCAATTGAAATATAGAATAAAATCATTACTGAAATGCATGGGTTAGCTTTATTCGTTTTAGTCGTAAGACATTGGAAGCAACTTACCCAAAAATTGGGTAGATTTGTTCCACAGCATCACCCATTTACTTAAATCTTTTGCAGACAATTAATATAAAATACGTTGAAATAGAAAATCGATTAAAACATTCAATCTAAAACCTACTTTTGTATTATTTAGTGGTTGATGAGCAAAATAGGGATGGCAGCAGAAATGCAGGAAGCGAAGAGGATACTCTGCCAAGTGTTGAAGGTATTTACCTAATAATTTATAGCTTACTGAGAAACAAAAATCGGGTATTATAAGAAAGTGCAGTCAATTAAAACACAGGCATTAAACTGCGCATCTTAGTGTTCCTTAGCCTTAGCATTACAATTATAATATAGTGCAAGCTCTAGCTTTGACTAGGAGTAGGTGCCCCCTGATTAAAACTAGAGATTGCATGGTATGGGACACTTTACAATGACTAACAAAACACCTTTATACAAGGTTATACATTCCTTTTTCTATTGAAAGAAATTTCCTACCTGCAGTAAAATACAAGAAGAATTAAATAGTCACTCTGAAATATAATTTTGTGAGCTACGCGAGCAAGAAAAATAGTATATAACATGGAAGTGCAGTCATTATTAGGCAGGGAAAGGATCGAGTCGAGAATTCTCTGCTATAGTATGAGAAAAAAGTGTCTTTTTTAACCATTGAATGTTTCATAAAAAAGCTTCAGGGATGAAGATTTCGAACGAATAAAGATTATCCCCTTTAGTTATAAGATATGGCAAGCAACTGACCTCAAAATTTTATACGTGAATTTCATAGCATCATGTCTTTCGTTTTAGTCGTGAGACATTGGAAGAAACTTACCTAAAAATTGGGTAGATTCGTTCAGCAGCATCACCCATTACTTAAATTTTTGCAGACAATTAACATAAAAATACGTTAAAATAGAACATCGATTAAAACATTCAATTTAAAACCTAATTTTGTATTCTTAAGTGGTTGATGAGCAAAATAGGGATGGCAGCAGAAATGCAGGAAGCGAGGACGATACTCTGCCAAGTATAGAAGGTATTTACTGAATAATTTATAGCTTACTGAGTAACAAAAATCGTGTATTATACGAAAGTGCAGTCTATTAAAACACAGGCATTCAAGTGCGCATCTTAGTGTTCCTTGGCCTTTGCTAATCCATTATAATATATATAGTGCAGGCTCTAGCTTTGACTAGGAGTACGTGCCCTGATTCAAATTAGATATTGCATGGTATGGACACTTTACAATGACTAACAAAACACCTTTATACAAGGTTATACATTCCCTTTTCTATGGAAAGAAATTTCCTACCTGAAGTAAAATATCAACGAAGAATTAAATAATCACTGTGAAGCCTAATTTTGTGAGCCGCGACTAACACAAATTGTAAATTATATTGAAGTGCAGTCATTATTAGGCAGGGAAAGGATCGAGTCGAGAATTCTCTGCTATATGAGAAAAAAGTGTCTTTTTTAACCATTGAATGTTTCATAAAAAAGCTTCAGGGATGAAGATTTCGAACGAATAAAGATTATCCCCTTTAGTTATAAGATATGGCAAGCAACTGACCTCAAAATTTATACGTGAATTTCATAGCATCACGTAATTCATTGAATGTTTTGCATGCAGACGAACATAAGCAAATTCCAAAAATTAAAACATCAATTGAGATAGAGAATAAAATCATTACTGAAATGCATGGGTTAACATTATTCGTTTTAGTCCTGAGAAATTGCAACAACTTACCCAAAATTGGGTAG